ATGACAAGCAGGATGATTTCAGAAAAACCTGGAAAGGAATACATGAACTGATGCAAAGCTAAATGAGCAGAACCAGGAGAATATCGTACACTGTGAAAGCAAGATTGTATGATGGTCAACTGTGAATGACTTAGCTGTTCTCAGCAATACAGTGATCTAAGACAATTCCAAAGGACTCATGATGAAAAATGCTGTCTACCTCCAGAGAAAGAACTGATAGAGTCTGAATGCAGATTGAAGCATACTATCTGTCATTTTCTTTATTTTTCATGTTTTTTTGGTCTGTTTTCCTTCACAACATGATTAATATGGAACTAAAATGTCCACACTCATTGAACCAGAGATGCCAATCCTGGGCTTATACCCTAAAGAAGCCAGTGATATAGAAGAAAGTCCCCATATACTCCAGCAATTATTGAGATAGCTAAGAATTGGAAACAAAGTAGATGCCCATCAGTTGGGGGATGGCTAAACAAATTGTGGTACGGGAATGTAATGTAATATTACTGTGTTGTAAGAAATGGTGTGTGCAGTGGATACAGAGAAGCATGGGAAGATCTGTATGAACTGACGCAAAGTGAAACGAGCAGAGCCAAGAAAGCAGTGTCCACAGTAACCACTGCAACGTAAATGGAAAGAGCAACACTCCAAAAAATCAGAAGCAAATATAAGAAAATTCTAAAACTCAAGCAGGACTCACATGAAGAACCTTGGTGGAGGTGGAGGGCCACAGGGCTTACACATTGCCCGTGTTTTTGGACTTTTTCCAGTGTATTGATCAGTTGTGCCAACTTGTTTTTTTTTCTCTCCAAAAAACATTGTCATATTGGGATGGTTCTCTGGGAGAGGTAGGGGAAGATATGGTGATGTAAGAAACAAAATATCAATAAAAACTTTTTAAAAATTGGATAAACCAGGAAGGTTTCTGTCAATAAAGTATGGCTGTGCTTCCAAAGTGACCTGAGCCTCCCTATCTTTCTAAACCATTCTTGGCTTATTCCTATGTTGTAAAAAAACTGCTTCCCACAATAAATATAGTAATGAAACTGATGCTCTGAGAATTTTTTTCTCCTAAAAGGGAAATTATTGTCTTTTAAAAATTTGGCCATTTCTAAAGGAAGCTAGCAGATAGTAGATTTCAAACAAAAGGATTGTATTTTTACCCCCCTTTCCTCCCCCCCCAAAAAAATCATAAGAGCATAGATTTCGAGCTGGAAGGGACCTTAAAGCCATCTAGTTTAATCTGTTTTAAAGTTGAGGAATGAGAAGCCCGGAGATGTCATAACTTGCCCAAGGTAACATAGATATTGAATGAGTGGTAGAGTCAGGATTTGAACCCAGATATCTTACCCCCAGATCCTGTGTTCCTTCCAGTGGGTAGAGCACTGGTATTGGAGTCAGGAAGACCTGAATTCAAATCCAGCCTGAGGAATTTACTAGCTGTGTGACCCTGGGCAAGTCACTTAACCCTGTTTGCCTCAGTTTCCTCATCTGTAAGATAAGCTGGAAAAGGAAATGGCAAGCCATTCCAGTATCTTTGCCAAGAAAACCCTAAATGGAGGGGCAGCTAGGTGGTGTGGTGGATAGAGCTTGGAGTCAGGAGGACCTGAGTTCAAATCCAGACTCAGACAGTTGACACTTTTTAGCTGTGTGACCCTGGGCAAGTCACTTAACCTGGATTGCCTCACCAAAAAGCAAAACCACAACCCTAAATGGGGTCACAAAGAATCAGACACAACTGAACAACAGCACAAGTCATCTTTGAAGCTCAAGGTCAAAAATGCTTCCTGCCCTAATTTTGTCCTCTTAGTCTTCTCCTCTGCCCACAGCCTATGGTTTTGCCAGATATTATTCTCAAATAAAAGGAGAAAACCTGGAGCGCTGTTATAAATAATCTGAAGAAACCAAAGGAAGGATTTATTTGGATCATCAGGTGTTTCTTAGACCCAGGTAATCTTTATTTAACACACATGATGTGGGCTCTTTCCTTTGCTGAAAACAGATTGCAAGCCCATCTTCATTTACTAGGAAAAAAACAACATCAGGAAACCACAGAATTCAAAATGTAATGCACCTGCCCTGCCAAATCAGGGGTGGGACTTTTTTCATTGTGACTGGACTTTTGGAGAATTTGTTAGTGCCTGGAGAAGTATCATCCCAAATATATAAAATTCATAGTTTCATAATTTATTCTTAAAAACACCAGACTACATTTAAAAAAAAATTAACATTACTTTTTAAAAAATATTGATGCCTTTTGTCTTCCTAGCTTTAAGTTTCTGGAGGTATTCCCCTCACCCACCCCAAACCACAGAATTTAATCCAAACATCTGGTAGTGACCACTTCAGATAATGTATACAACATTCTGCCCTGGTAGTAGGGCAGCTAAATAGTTTAGTAGATAGAGCACTGGACCTGAAGTGAAGACGACCTCAATTCAAGTATGGCTTCAGGCACTCTCTAGCTGTGGGGTCCTGGGCAAGTCAACCTCCTCAGTTTTCCTCATCTGTAAAAATAAAAATAATAACACTTCCCAGGGTTGTTTTGAGGATAAAATGAGTCAATATTTGTAAACTGTTTTTCAAACTTTAAAGCACAAAATAAATACCAGCTACTATTAGTAGTCAGTTTCCCTCTCTGCTTTGAAGGAGGCATATTTCCTTTTCTGTTTTCTGGTACCGTTGTTATTATTTTTTGAAGTACTTAGAATTTAGCTTCCAGTTTATGTTTCACTTATGTTATTGTAGTCATTTTATAGATTACTCTTTTGGTTCTGTTTATTTTTCTCCATCTCAGTTCATAGAGATATCTTCATTTTCCTCTAAATTTCCCCTATTTGTCATTTCTTAGTGTACAATAATATTTCATTACATTGATGTTTCATAGTTTCTTCATCCATTCTCCAATTGATGGGCACCCACTTTGTTTCCAGTTCTTTGTTGACCCAAAACATGCTGCCATTTGAGTGGACCTTTGTTTCTGTCTTTGACTTCCTTGGGCTATTTACTTAGTGGAACAGATAGAACAGTAAGGTGATACCTAGAATAGTTGGAGCAATTTACACTTCTACCAGTAGCATATTAATGTGGCTGTCCTCCCACAGCCTCATCCAAATTGACTTTTCCTATTTTTTTGGTCGCTTGCCAATTTATAGGTTGTAAAGTGAAACCTCAGAGTTGTTTTAACTTACATTTTCTTTAGAAGTGACTTGGAATATGTTTTCAAATGACAGTTTATAATTCTTTTGGTAATTTTGTATCCTTTGACCACTTGTCCATGTCATTTACTTTTTAATTTCCTTTTCCCTCCATTTTGGACAAAAATGACAAATTATACAATAAAACCTAGATTAACCAGCATACTAAGGAAATGGGGCTATTCTGGTGGATTAAATTTTATGTTAACTGGAAATTCCTTTTTGTTTGGAGTCTGCTTTGGTAAGTTCAATATTGTGAACATAGACAAATCCTTCTTAAAGATGAATGATCTTCAAGAATCATCATTCTTTCAGAAGTAAATACTTCTGAGGAGGGACAGGGTCAAAAGAAAGAATAGAATAAATGGGAGGGCAGGATAGGATTAAGGGAAATAGAGTTAGTTTTTCACATGTCTACTATGGACGTGCTGCATGTGTACAACGTATATTGAGTTGCTTGCCTTTTCAGTGAGGGTGGGTGGGGAGGGAGGAAGAGAGAAAATTTGAAACCTAAAGTTTTAGAAACATATGTTTAAAAAAATGTTTTCACATGCTACTGGGAAATAAGAAATACAGGAAATGGGGTACAGAAATCTATCCTGCCCTACAGGAAAATAGAAGGGGAAGGGGATAAGAGAAGGGGGGAGAGATAGAAGAGAGGGCAGACTAGGGGAAGGGGTATTCAGAATGCATGCCATCTTGGGGAGGGGGGAGATGGGGAACTCACAAACTTGTGGAAGTGAATGTTGAGAACTAAAAATAAATTAATTTATATATATAAAAAAGGAATCATCATTCTCTAAGCATCAGTTCTCTGAACTCCTTTTGTTCTTTACCTCAGAATACCCAAGAAATGATTGAATTAAAGAAATACTTTTTCTTATTGCAGATGCAAAATTATAGAGAGGTAAAACATTAATAGTAGTATCCAAGAACATCTTCCCCAGTCCCTTCCTCTGCTATTCCCTATAATGTAGAGGAGCTTTTGGAGGGGAGTGGTGGGTAGGGAAGAGGGCATGCATTTTTTAATGACAATGTAATAGGCATAATTTAAATAATATAATTAATACCATATGTCTGATACATAAGTAATGGGCTTTTGTGAGTTGCTCTGGAAAACTTAACTACTATGTGGAAAATTACTTCTATGGGACAATTCATTCTGAGTTCCTGCTGGTTTAAAACCGAAGTTTTGGAGCATAAATTTAAAATGGGAGGCAACTTTAGTCAAAAAGCCTTGGCTTCAAGTGCTCCTTTCATGTGTACTGGCTGTGTGATCTTGGGCAAGTCACATGAGCACTCTTATTGCTCCCAGACCGGAAATAACGGAGCAGTTGAATTTTTGAACTGGAAGACAGAGGATGTTTCCCCACCAGGGAGACCTCCTGCACCAATGAAATCATTGGTCTAGCCACACACCAAAAAAAAAACAAAACAAAAAAACCCCCCAAAACACCCCACTACCCTTTTCACAAGTTGGAATTCCCTGTGCTATAGATAATGAAGTTACAGGAAACGAGTCAAAATCTGACTCCAGGACATCCCCTGGAAGTCATTTTTTTAAATTGTCGCTCTTAGGCTGTTTTCTTGCCATGTGTTTTCTTCTCCTTGAAGTGGAGTGTTGGGGGAGAGTCATGATTTGAGAATGTCTTGAACATAGCTTACTTTGTTGGGACCCCTAGTTTTTTTTTGGAAATGAACTTTGATGTTCATTCCTTAACTATGCAAAGCTTACCCAGAAGAGGAGAAAATGCTAGTGTGGAATAACTTGAAAGAAGTTTTTAACTTTGTTCTTTACTGTAGATGAAGAACCGGCTCCAGCTGATGGAAAAATTATGTTCAGAAAACCAGCCAAGAGATCCTCTGATGAGAAGTATTTGGGTTTGACAGCAAACTCCAGAAAGAAGAGAAAAGATGAAGAAAAAAAAAAGGAAGACTTGGTTCCAAAAAACAATCAGAAACAAATAAAAAATAGTAACCTGCTTTCTTTTGATGATGCAGAGGAAGAAGTTGAATAATTGTACATATTTTGAACTTTTGTATTCTCTCCTTCGAGAGCATTTGGGGGGTGTTCCTTAAACATTTTCTTACGGACTTTTTTCATTTTTTAAAGAGTGGCCTATGTTGGTGATGTGGAGTATGTTTGAACTCTATTTGGTGTAATTGAAATATTTCAGCAAACATAATCAAAATTGCTTAAGGAGCTAGATCTAGAATACGTGACCCAGGTATACTTGGCACCACCTCCTCCCTCCTTTGTAATGTCTCTAACATAACTCCCATGACCATTTAGGTTAAAGACAAGAAGTCTATGTATCCGTTTAAAACTATTGATTACAGCTAAAGACCAGGATCTTATGTGATTTACTCAATGACCTTGAGGAAGCTGCCCTGTTTTCCCTATCTGTAAGTGCATGATTCAGTTAATTACCTTGAATTATCATGAACATCATGCTAATGCAAAATACTTTTTTACTTTAGTGCCTACAACTTCCTCAGACATTAAAACATCTTTTAGCTTGCTTGATATAAGTATTTAAAGCCTGTGCTTTGTTAATGTTTTGAGACTTTTTGCCATTTTAATTATATTCCACCTTTCAATCTTAGGAATTTCCATGTAAGTTTATGAATGACTGACTCCTTTGTAGCATATATATTTTTTAAAAAAAAGAAGATTCGAGATTTAGGATAATGTGCCATTTCAACAAAAGGAATGAGGTGGATTCTCAACCCCATTTAGCCATCTAAAAGAATCTATTGTGTTCCAATTAAAACACCACCAAGAATTTATGGTAGCTTGGCCCAGACTCTCTTGGTATGAGAAAACATCCTGAATCTAGTTTCTTATTTTGCTGCAAAAGAAGTAAAATTAATGGGGATTGTAAAGCTTTGTGAAGGAACTGATTGGAAATTGCCGTTTTGCAGCTGTTTGAGGTTTAACTGTTAATGTTTTAATGTAGCTCATGAGAATGTAATAAAAGCAGAAAATGTAAATAAATAAAACCGATCCTTAGACATGTTTCTACATGTAGCTAAGGCCAAGATCTATAAAGACAAAATGGAGATCCTGTGTGGATGATTTTGCCAACCTAAGCCAGTGGTTAATTGTTTTAAAATGATTTGTTTCTTTCCTTTCTGCTACATCAGCATTTTAGATAGATTCCAGCAGTGATTCTCAAACAATCTTGGTACCCCTTTACATTCTTCAAAATTGTTAAGGACCTCCCAAGAGCTTTTGTTTGTTTGGGTTATACCTATAGATATTTACTGCATTTGAAATTAAAACATCTTAGTATTATTATGAAAATAGTTTTGACCTAAAGGATCCCCTGAAAAGATCTGTTGACCATACTTTGAGAAATGGTGATCTATAGTAATTGCTTCTGGATGGGGATGTTCTGTTACTCTGCAATAATCCTTTTGACTTCTTGACCAGACCTCTGCCTAAAAAGTAACAGAGGGAGAGTTTGGGAAATAGGTTAAAAGCTGAACAAGATGGCAGCAAATTCCTCAAGGCAAGAAATAAAAATTTAATTAAACTTTAATTTTCATTCAGTGGTGCTGCTACCTATTGCTCAAGGTTGTCAGTTATATCCCAGGAATTTGGGCCAGCTCATTCCAGCCAAACTCATGAAAATTGCCAAAGGGCTTTTAATTTCCATGTAGAGTTTGCCAGTCCTTGGGGGTTTTAGATTTATTAGAAAGCCTTATGCCTACAGTGCTGGATCTCCCTTGCTGTTATTAATAATAATGAATATTCAACTGATGGCTCACGGTCTACATAACTTGCCTTGTAAACTAAACTTAGGTAAATCTTCATCTCCTATCTGTGATTTTTACCAGTCCCCCAAATTTTTACCAGCTCCAGCTTTTAAGTCATCAGTAATTTATCTAATGATGGTGAAGTTAAATGACCTGGAAAAAAAAATGGTAGCCAGCAGAGTGGGTAACATTTAAAAAATTTTTAATTGTAATTCTTGGTTGCTTGAAGTCACCTTTTAGTTCTAGTACAGTTGTTTCAGGCTGTGGGCCTGAGATAATTGTTAAAAACTTACATGCAAAAGACTTTGGAGTTGAGCTGATAATCAGTTTCAGAGAGTTGCTTGCAAAAATTTGTCAGCACTGAAAATAATAATGATTTTTTTTGAAAACCCCTGTGCAAGTAGCCATCTCCGTAAGAAATAGGAGACAGAGGTAAGTTGAATGGTTTCAGGTTCAAATATGTTTAAAAAAATCTAGAACAGCCTGTTTTCAGCTTTGCTTCCCAACTCTTGGTGTGAGCTGAGGTAGGGAAGTGTTCTTCAGCTCCCCACTCTCCTGCTGCAAATGTGGAAAGGGATATTGATTGGTGCATGTTAAACAGGGGTAGTCTATAGTAGCTAGCCAGAGGGTTGGACTTGGAGGGAGGAGAACCCAAGTTCAAATGTCACTTCAAATGCTTTCATACTGTCTAACCCTAAGTAAAGGTCATCACTCTTGTATCTAATTTCCTTATCTGTAAAATCAGGGGGTTGGACTTGATGGCACCTTCCACCTCTAAATTTATGGTCCTATGGCATCCATCCTCCTTATGAGTTAGATCGAGAAGTGTTACATCCTCAATGGGCACTACATGATCTGGAAATAGATGAGTGTTTTCAGAATGACGATCAGAATCAAGCGACCATCATTTTCTTTGGCATTTTATTGACTTTCTAACTTTGGAACATTTTCCTTTATGAGCAAAGGGAAAAAAGGCATGGGCAACTTGGCATTCAGTGAAAACCCTCCAAGATTCTTGTATTTTCAAGAAAATAGTATTCAAAGGCGTCCAAAATGCCAATGAATTTGTGAAGGAAACTTCCTTGGAAACTATTCAAAATAAGGTAGAAAACTTCCACTTATGTTTGGTGAAGTTCTTCATGAAATGGGGGAGGGAAGCTGATCTCTTGAGGTTCTTTGCAGTCTTAATGTTTGATTTTCAGATACAGGTTATTACTCATACTTCCTGACTGGGAAGAAGTTTTTGGACATGTCCCTAAGGTAGAACAACAGAAATGTATTAATCAGTGCTATTTGTGGTGGTGTTTAGTCGTTTTTCAGCCATGTCAGACTCTTCGTGACCTCTTTTGGGTTTTCTTGGCAAAAATACTGGAATGGTTTGCCATTTCCTTCTCTAGCTCATTTTACAGATGAGGAAATTGAGGTAAATAAGGGTTAAGTGACTAGGTCACACGGCTTGTTAAGTGTCTGGGGCCAGATTTGAACTGACAAAGAAGAGTCTTCCTGACTCTAGGGCTAACGCTGTGCCACCTAGCTGTCCTGGAAGAAATAAATTTGGCACTAGAATGGAGGTCTCTTGAAGCAGAGTTTCATAATTAAAATTATTTTACTGGTTACTAGCCATTCTTAGGACTCATTTTAAAATTGAACTTTATCCCAAATTATAAAAGTTACATGTTGTATAGAAGGTATAATATAGTATTTCTACATTGTAATTTTAAGATATTTTTTAAATGCTATGGAGGCATCGTAGTATTATGCCATGTTATAATTTAAAGATACATTTTAAAGATTTTAATTTTTTTTTAGATTTAATGTGTATGGCTAGGTAAAAATTAAAAATGAAATTGTAGGAAAAGAAAGTTCACTTTGATTTTAGGACTTTAAACAAAATGATGAGTTAATTGTGATGCAGAAATAATACAAATGTACAGTTAGTTAAATTGATCACTAGCTGGAAGAGTGTTTCCTCTCTGCTCTGTAATTTAATATGAAAGCCTTTTGATCTGTCCTATTTTCTAATTAAAATTGTACTGCATTTTTTAAAATGAGAAACTTGAAATCTTTTTAAAGTCCATAAGTTATTAAAATAGAGAGCGGATCTGTTTTTTCTCTTATATTTAATGCTTGTCTTTGGCATTTCATTTGTCTCTGATAATGGAATTAGACTAGTGAAGGCTTTACTTTTGTCCTAATCGCTTTTACTGCTGATCCCCAGGTTGCACAGTGTTACTAAATGCTAGGAGAACTTACACAATATGGGCATGTGTAAGTTTTTTTTAAAGGTCCAGAAAATATTTTTTCACATGTTGTCAATATTTGCAGCAATTTCTCGATGAATTTTATCTGTAGCCTTGATGAAGATAGCTTTCTGGTTTTTCATGTTGGGATTACTCTGGTGCTATCATTATAGGCTCACAGTAAAATCTGAGTCTACTTTTTTTTACCTCTCTTTATTATAAAATCTATGTTCTGTCAAATGCTAACAGTGATGCTATGCTACTTTTTAAAAAAATACCAATGACTCTCAAAGCATTATGCAAGATGTCTTTTAAAAATTCTGAGTATATACATGCCAAAGAACACAAAAAGAGGTAGTATATGAAATTATGAATCTATTTCATACTGCTTGCTTTTTAAAAAAGCAAATAATAATTTCATATGATACTTTCAAAACTGTCCTGCTTGTGCTTGCTTCTGAACTTCTGTTTTCTTCAGTGTTTAAAAAAAAAGTTTCAATGGTCCTCTCTCTGTTTCTGTCTCTGTCTCTCTCTTTCTTTATGGCATCTCTATTGCAGTCTCTCCCCCCCCCCCATGCTCCCAATTAAAAACTGAGAAAACACCCTTGTAATGAAAACTTTTCAACAATTAAATTTGCATTTAATCATCTTAAATTTATTGTTTGTAATGTTTTGAAAAAAATAGTATCGTGTAATGCTGGATAAAACAATTTGAAGAGAAAATTCTTTGGTGCAGGTGGAATAAATACAGGCAAAGACAGCAGAGGCAGGTAAAGTAGTGGAAACACAGAAAAACAAAGTAAAAAGCCCAAATTCAGAAAATACAACTCATTACCTTTTTCATTGGATTTCATAAGTACTCACTGATGAAGAGGAAAGACCTCTGTTTGCTTTATTTAAATGCTTTAGCTGCAGGAAGCATGAAATCTAATCAATTGAAAGGGTGTCTTGGAAAGTGTACTTGCAGAATATATTGAAAAGACAATTTTTCCAGAGAAAATTAGATACAAAAAAAAGACGTTAAAAAGCCATTACTGTGTCATCAGAAAGATTGCTTGCATCATCTAAGGTTGCTTACTAAGAGTAATTGCTAAGAGTAAAATTGCTTCATTCAATATGAGAAACATTTGTTCTACCTACAGTTTTTGATAATGAAGTGATGCTTGGTGAATCATATAGAAAGCCTTTTCACATGGTTCCATTTGCAAGTAATATGGTAGGACGAATTGCCCATATGTCTGAAGACTTCTGTGAAGACATAATTGGGGATCTGAAATCTTCTTATATTGTATTGCAAGATAGATAAAGCATTTATCAAGCCCTTACTATGTGCCAGGCACTGTGTTAAGTGCTCCAATTGCAAACTAAAAGAAAAACGATGCCTGCCCTGCAAGAGCTTGCATTCTAATGAAGGAAGACAACACATAAAAGGGAGATAAGGGGGTAGGTGAATAGGGCAAGATGGAGAAGTCAAGAACAGAGCCATAGATGAAGCAGCAGATATGAAAGATGCTCATTTGATTATGTGTAGTACATTTTGGAACCAATGTTAGGAAAGACTTACTTTGTAAGCTTATTGATGGCAATGCCACATCTAAAGAAATTTCAATGTAATTTGTACATACATACACACACACACACACACATATATATATATAGATGTATAGATATACATATATAGTGAAAATGGTATAATTTGGAAGAACTATCAGATTCTGCACTGATAGAGGCCAGTTGGATTAGGGAACCCATTTTCCATGGACAAATATTGTTCATTTAGATTTATTCCAATTGGACAAGAACAGTTAGTAGACTTACCTTGTGATAGGGTAGGAATGGGGACTGGAGCTATGATTTGTTTATCAGATTGGACTGAGGAGGAAAGTCCTTATGCTAATACAGGTCAGTACCTTCTCTGACTCACACTGTCAGAGAATTGCTTACACAGCCCTGAAAGATTAAGTAACTTGTCCAGGGACCTACAACCATTATGAGTTAGAAGAAGGACTTGAACCCAGGATCCAAGGCCAGCCCTCTATCCATTACATTACTTTACC